GACAGCGCCTGAGCTCAGACCCGGGGAATGCGCCGCGCGCGGGTCTGGGCAGGTGCAGAACCTCCCGGGGCAGAGGAGCGGGGCCGGGCGGGGCGTGAGGGCGGCGCCTCTACTCCCAGGCCCTAGCCCTTCACCCCCAGGTACTCTCCAACCCAAGCTCTCGCTTCTCCCCTGCCCCTTCCCCCTAGCTCTCTTTTCCAGGCCTCCTCTGCGCTCCAACCAGGTTCTCTGGGTTAAGAACCCGGGCAGGAGGTGGGGGTGGGGGTGGGATGGGGTCGTTCCAGAAGAATCATGCTCAGTAGGAACCGTGTCCGAGCGCTAGGCTGGCCTGGGAATACCCAGGTTGTAATCCTGCAGTTCTGTGCGGACAGACTGACGCTGGAAGATGCCCCACCCTCTCTGGGACTGGGTACCCCGCTCTGGGGACAGCTGGGGTATGGGCTAGGACCTTCCCCTCTCTAAGCCTCTTCCTTGGACTAGTTATTGAGCTTCTCTGTGTCTCAGTTTTCTCGTGTGTATAATGGGCGATTAAAACCTTCACGTTACAGGGGTGTGAGGTTTGAGTGACAGAATTTATGTGTTTAAAACAGCGTTTAGGACAGTGTAGGGCACCAAATAAAGTTCACACATGGAGGATTCTTAATTACGGTCTTCCTTTGCTTATCGTTAAGATATCACAGGGTCTGGCACAGAGTGAAGGCTCAATACCCAAAGTAATGTCCCCCCAAAAGAGCCCTTTCAGCTCTTTCTGAGATTCTAAAAGCCCCGCATTTGGACCTCTGGAGTCTTCACTTCCTGAGCCCTGACCTCTCCATGTACATTCGTGAGTTCTGGCCAGGGATCATCCACAATAATTGAAGCACGGGGGCCCGAGGAGCCCTGGAAGGTTCCAGAGAGAGCGTGGCAGAAGCCCAGGGCGTAGGCTGTGCCTGCTCTCCAGCGTGTCTCCCCACTGGAGCAGGGAGAAGTCATTCATTCCCCGGGGTGGGGTCAGCAAACCTCATTGGAAGCGACACCTTTGAGCGGTTGCCGGAGACAATGGGCAGCGTCTGGTCTACCTGCCAACCCCGAGCCTGGCATGCCCTGAGCTCTCTTGGCAGCCACGGTTATTATTTTTAATGTCATCACAGGCTGTTACCAAATGCCCTTCAAGCCCACACTATTAGGAAGTTCTTCCCTCTCGCATCAGAGCCCCCTGCCTCCCCACCCCCTGGTTTAATCCTTTCCCATGACACTTGCGGGTGGAGAGAAGGGGGAGAGAGAGAGAGGGATGTTGGGGCCCTGCCCTCCCCCGCTTCAAGGACTGACACACACCTCCAGAATTAGCCTCGATCCCTCCCTTATCTCCCACGCTACTTCAGGTCAGACAGAGGGGGTGGAGGTGACCTTTCTCACCTCAGGGTCAGGGCCAGTAGCCCTAGGAGGGGAAAGGTTAGTCGGAAAATCTAGAGGGAGCGGATGGAATTCTGCACCCCAGAGAGCTGCAGAGGGAGGGGGGATGCCAAATCTGGTTTCCTCTCCCACTCTGGCCTCCGAGCTTGGTTGACCCCCATCCTCTCTGTGTAATGACTGCGTGGTGCCCAGCTCTCAAGCCGCCCCGAATCCAACCCCATCTTCTGGAATTCGGCCCTGGTTCTACCTAGAACGCCCGCCCTCTGCAAACCCCGGTGGTTTCCCACCTCCATGGGGCAATCGCAGGCACCACACCCGCGCCAGGGGGCGCCCTTGGGCGGAGGTCCCGTCTCTGGTTAGGCAGGTCTGACGCCTCGGTTAATGACATGTTGGGGATCGCGCAGCGGCACCGGGGAGTTTGGAGAGCTGCCCCAGCCCTCCCACCCCAGCCCCCACCCCAGAGCCGGGAAGTTTGGGGAGCGCCACACAGCCTCCGGAGGGACCCCGGGTATTTGTCTCGCTCCATTTCAGGAACCCGGGCTCCACTACCCCCTACCCACCCTAATTCTTCTCGGACACCTACAGGCTCGGTGGAGAAGGCAGCACCGAGAGTGGTAGGATGGCCTCCCATTCCAGAGCCCCAGCCGTCCGAGCCTCCCATTTCTGCCCCAGATTCAGGCACCCGCTTCCCCCAATTCTACTCAAGGACTCAGGGTTTCGAGAGCTCCCAGTTCGAGGGACTCAGGAGTCCCAGCTCCAACGTATCCCCCGGAACCAAGGCGTCCGAGTCCTCCATTCCAAGAACTCAGGCATCCCGGCCCCCTTCCCTTCTGCCCAGTAAACCAAGTATCCAAGTTCTCTCCTTCCACGGACCCTGCGTCTGCGCACCCCCAATCCCGCGCTGGGACCAGGCGTCCGGTTCCCCTCCCAGTCCTCCCAGGGACGCGGTGTCGGCTCCTCCAGAGCCGCTGGACCCGGGCGAGGCGGAACTCACGGATCAGGGGCCGATCCTGGCACCAGGGGTCTTCCTCCGGCTTCGGCTCCGGCGGCGGGGCGCGGAGGACGGGGCGGGGCAGACTCCGGGAACAGGTTGGACAACGTGACTTCGGCTGGAGGAAGCAGGGTCCCTGAGGGGAGGGGGAGCCGGGGTCGCCTCGAGCACCTTGGGACTTGTAGTCCCGGAGGAGCAGGGCGCAGCCGGAGCCGTTCCCACTCAGAGGCATCCGAAGTCCATTTCACAGACAGGAAGGGCGAGGCCCAGAAGCCCAGAGAGTCCTGGCCACGGAAATAGAGTCCAGACTTCTCCCTCCCTGTGGCTGCGGAAGACGGACTCCCACGTCCCGGCCCCACCCCTCCAGGCTCAGTTTCCCCTCCTGGAATGATTCGGACACTACCAAGGGGGGGAGATGGTCGCAGACTCGGGGAGACTCACGCCCCATCCCAGGAGCGAGCGGAGGCCTCCCTAAGAGTACCCCTCGAGTTTCTGAGCCTCAGTCTCCCTGTCAGTAAAAAGGGCGGATTGGATCTTGTACGATGTCCCGGCCACGGCGCCCAGGCTGGGACTGCGGTCTCTGGCGGCGTCCACAGCCGAGTTGGGCGCTCCCCCGCCCGGGGTCCTCTGGGAATTGTAGTCCCGGAGCCCGCGGGGGCCACGCCCCGGTATCTCACCCCCCGCACGGGAACTGTTTGGGGACCCCCGGAGGAGAGGACGCGTCCGCTGACCCTTCCTCCGCTCTGGGAAGCCGCTCGCTCCCTGAAAAGAAGGGCACCCCAATGCGGGAGTAGGATCCGAAAGCGCGGCAGAGCGGGCGGGAGGCGGCGCTGACACACCGGCCAGGAATGCAGTTGGGTCACCCTGTCTAGCCGCTGTCTCGCCGCCCCACGGGGTGCCGTCGCTGTCAGGGGGGCGTGGACGCGTCCCCCAAAGCTGGGCCCACGTGCTGCTGTTTACAAGCGCCCCGGGTCTGGGAAGGATCTCTGGTCTTTTCCCTCTCCCGTCCCCAACGCCTTCGGGGATGTGCTCCACACGAGATTAAATCCTCCGGGACAGCTACCTGCCTCGTGGGACCCACAGGCCCCATCCCTCAGCCCGCACGGCCCCGCGCGAGTCTGGAGGCTCCGCCCCCCATGTTTCCCGCTCCCCGGAGGTCCAGAAGCCCCGCCCCTGGCTGGTACCTCAAGCCCTCGAGAGGAATCGCCCCCTTTCTTCCACTTCCCCACCCCTCCCACTCAAGTTCTGAACTCGGTCCCGAGCCCTCTGGGCCTCCCCAGCAGGGACTGCAACACTGAAAGCACAGCCAAGCCAACCAAGACTCTTACCTATCTCTTTAAGGACTTCAGACCAATCGATCCTCCTGTCTCTTTAAGAGTTAGGTCCCATCAATGTGGCTGCCCCTTTAAGGCGACGTTGGAGCAAACAATGTCCGAGAGACTAAGGGGGGTGCCCGCAGCGGCCTCGTGGGGCTCTACCTCCCGCCAGACCTCGAATCAGCTGCTTCCGGGAGCAGATTTACAGGAACAGAGATCCTCCTTGGTTGTCTGCTCCGCACAAATGGGAATTTCCCGCAGCTCTGCTCACAAAGCGAGCGGGCTCCCAGCGACACCTCCGCGTCCCCGCACCCTTTGGGCGCTCCCGAGCCAGGCCCCGCCCCCTCGGCTCCACGTGGTCGGCGGCGAGGCTGGGGCCGCTTAGCTACGGATCAGCGGGAGCGGTGGGTGCCGGTATGGCGGGTCTCCCGTCCGGAGGTGAGTTGCTTCAGGGCGGGCCGCCTGGGTGCAGAGGCTGGCTGGCTGGCGGGAGGGGGAAGGGGCGCCGGGAGCGCCTGGACGGAAGAAGTAACATCCCCGGAAACAGACCTGCGAAAAGCCGGAGAGAGGATATCTTGGGAGGGCGACCGGTGTAGAAAAGAGCCCCCCAGGATTTGGATCAGTGGAGATAAAGGGTCTCCATGGAACAGACCGTGGGAGAGACCGGGTGAAGGCCATTGGGGTGCTCAAGAGGTTTGCACCGGTGCGATAGGAGCCCTGGAGGATGGGACTGGCAGCAAAGTGTCGGCAGACCCCCGTTTCCCCTCCTGCAGGTGCTGCTCGGTTCTCTTGTCCCCCCAACTTTACCGCGACTCCCCCATCGTCAGAGTCCACTCGTTTCTCCTTGGAGGCGCTGACGGCCCCGGATACGGAGCTGTGGCTCATCCAGGCCCCTGTAGACTTCGCTCCAGACTGGTGAGTGGTCCCAGCCGCCTCCCTGGAATACTCGCCACTCCGGGGGATGCACTTTGGGGAGTTTAGGGGGCTTGTCCTAAGGAACCTAGCAATGCACTCCCCTGTGCCACCGACAGAATCTGACCGGCTTCTGCCCTCCCCCTCTCTCCTTTCAGCCTCAATGGGCGGCTGGTGCCGCTCTCTGGCTCCCACATGGTGAAGGGCAAGGTGGCAGGCAAGCGGCACCGCTATCGGGTCCTCAGCAGCGGCAGCCCCCAAGCTGGAGAAGCAACCCTGCTGGCGCCCTCCGCGGAGGCAGGGGGCGGACTCACCTGTGCCCCAGCCCCCAAGGGCAGCCTAAGGATCTTAGAGGGTCCCCAAGCATCCTTACCGGGGATCCCGCTGCAACCCATTCCCACCAGCCCCCCACCACAGATCCCGCCCGGCCTGAGGCCTCGGTTCTGTGCCTTCGGAGGCAGCCCACCCGTCACAGGGTCTGGGTCAGCCTTGGCACTGAGGTCTCCGGCCTCAGGGAAGAAAAAAAAGAAGAGGCATGTGTCTGAGGCCTCCGTTCCTCGGGAGGCAGTGAATGGGCACGGGACCCTGGAGGTGGACACGGCTTTGCGGCCCCCAGAGATGGAGGTGGGGAAGAAGAAGAAAAAGCAGCATCCCAGTGAACTGGAGGCGATGAAGCCGGAGCCCGAGGCCGAGGTGCTGGAACCGCTGGGAGTGCTGGTCCCGTCCGCCAGCAAGAAGAAGAAAAAGAAGCCTAAAGAGACAGAGATGGGGGTGCTGGAGCCAGCAGAAAGGACTGTGGAGCTGGAGCTCATGGTTAAAACCGAGCCTCTGCAAGAGACAGTCCTATCCCCCACCAAGAAGAGGAAGAGACACAAGGGGACAGAGGGGATGGAGGCTGTGGAGGGGATGAGAGCTGAGTTTCAGCTACAGGTGAAGGAGGAGCCCCAGGAGGAGGCCATCCCACTGCCGTCCTCAAAGAAGAAGAAAAAAGGCAAGGGGCACACAGTGCTGGTGGAGCCGGGGACTGAGGCTGTGGAGCCAGAGATGAGCACGCTGGAGCTCCCAGGGAGAGGATGGAAGCCTGAACTGCCACGTGTTAAGGTTGAGCCACAGGCCGAGGCAGCTCTGGCGTCCACCAAAAAGAGGAAGAAAAAGGAAAAATGGCAAAGCCCAATGATGGATCCAAAGACAGAGGTGGTGGAGCCCCAGGAAGAGGTGATGGTGCCTGGGCTGCCAGGCGATCTTGAGCCTCAGGCAGCTCTAGCATCCCCCAAGAAGAAGAAGAAAGAAAGAGGGCACAGAGGGACAGAGCCAGGGGCTGAGGCGACTGACCCAGGAGGTGAGATGACGGAGCCTGAGGCCAGGGCAGATCCAGCGCCCACCAAGAAGAGCAAGAAGTGGGGCCAGGAAAGTGGGGGGCCAGAGACGG